GGGGGAAGGGATGGGGGGAGAGGAAGTGTGAATGTCCCGTACCTAACACAGGAGGACATGGCTGCTCTGGTACGGAGGGTGAGGGGCGGATTGATTGGGGGGAAAGGATGGGGGGAGAGGAAGTGTGAATGTCCCGTACCTAACACAGGAGGACATGGCTGCTCTGGTACGGAGAGTGAGGGGCGGATTGATTTGGGGGAAGGGATGGGCGGAGAGGAAGTGTGAATGTCCCGTACCTAACACTGGAGGACATGGCTGCTCTGGTACGGAGGGTGAGTGGCGGATTGATTGGGGGAAGGGATGGGGGGAGAGGAAGTGTGAATGTCCCGTACCTAACACAGGAGGACATGGCTGCTCTGGTACGGAACAACAGGTTTTTCATAAGACTGACGAAAGAGAGAGGGAGGGTGGGAAGGAGGAGGAGGAGCAAAGTTACTCAGACTATCAATATTTATGTCAGTATACAGTAAGGTAACGAGATAAACCGTTTATAATCAAGTATGTGGATTAATTCTCAACGAAACTCTTAAACAGCTTTTGATGAATTGGTTCGTACATGCATCATATTTTTTTCGTTTATCCGATTGAAAGACATTTTAATGCTAACATAAAGGATTTAAAGATCCGATGTATAACACATTCACAAGCACTTTTTAAAACTGTCGACCGTCTGATTGAGGATTTGTGAAAATTACATGTGTATGCATATCATTCGTGTCTGTTGACACACAAGAAGTTGTTTTACAATGGTAATACTTGCACGGACTCCCAAGAGCCCACCCACGTCTAATCACACCCCCAGCATGCTTACACAACTCTCTATGCGTGAGATGCGGTGAATTTATAATACTGTCGCATATATTTCGCCTTCTTGTCTACTTCACATTTCCGGTTTCCGGATAATCCTGCGGTTTTAATTCCTTTTTATAAATAACATGCTATTAAAAATAGATAAAAAGGGTGTTTATTTTTCACAGGCGAGAGTTTTGAGGTTCGAGAATGTGTCAACGTTCCGCCGTGTAGAGGATTGTCGGAGTTCTTTCCAGCAGGTATAGTTTGGGTTTTTCACATTGTTCACACACTGACAAATAGATCATACTGACAAGTACTCTATTTTCGTGAGCGTTTTTTTTTTTTGCCTAGATACCGACAAGTACATTAATTTGGCGAGCGTCTATTTTCTCCAACATACTGAAATATAGGTTCTACTGACAAGTGCAATACTTTTGTGAGCGTTTATTTTCGACTCAACTATTGGCGAAATTCTCTTTGTGCGAATACAGTAAAACATATTTCTATAAAGCGAAAAAATACAAAATCTTATATTCAGTTAATGGTAATTGAAGAATTTCCAATAAGAAACATCCCTTTTTGGTGTATATGTTCTCCGCATTGTGAAATAGGTGGAATTTTCGCTGTTTTCGCTTAGTGATTAAGCTAGTCTGCGTTCATTCGGAAGACATCATTATGATATAAAAAGTCAGGTTTCTTTTTCCAAAAGGTTTCTGCGAGAATTGAAACACAATGTCAGTATTTAAATGGGATAAGACACAAGTTCAAAAAAAAAAAAAATCGTCTTCTCCCTCCACATAGTTGATTGAGGGTGTGGACTTCCGCGATTTTATTAACGCCCAGTGTCTGTTTTAGGTCAATATCCTACTTGTATGATACGGAGAAAATCGTGGTCTGGACTGAACGTGGCTTATTTTCGTGGTATAGCTACACATAAGTATTCCGCGAAGATTTGAGTTTGTGGACTAACCATAATAGACATGGTTATTGCACCTACCAGAAAATATGTCTCGTGAAATAGTATTCCAATGTTTACACAGATGTTATTCCGAAATCTGAGATACTGGATTAAACACATTCCTTTCTGGTTTACAGGTGATGGCGGACTGACAGGGAACGACGGAGGCGACCTGTTCAAAGTGGCCGGCTCAGGTGACGGGAGCAAAACAAACGGTGACCAAGTAAGTTTTCACGACTTTTTGTAAACAACTGTAAGGTAATTTTATACATCTAGAATTCTAAATATATCGAAAATGACAAGACGTTATCTAACCTATCTGAAATAGTCAAGCGGTCTGTACAAGAATTTCTGTTGAAACGAAACAGACAAAAGCAAAGATATCGGGATTTTAACGTTCCTAAAGTAGTAAATTACTATGTTAACTTTAGACCAAAACGATATTTTCCCTTTCAAGGAAGACGATCCAGAGAAGACTGTGATTACCGGACTATGACACTGCGGACGACAGGGCTGTTAATTGGTTTTAATGGGATTCCGGTTAAAAGATGTGAAAATCATCTGTCGGTGTCTGTAAGGTTCTCTCCAAATACAGTTTCCGGTAGGAGGCAATGTTCATACGCGCATAAATTACAATGAGTATGCTGACGTATTGCGTTCATCCCAAGAGACGATGACAAATCTAAAAGTACCCATAGGTGGACTGGGATAAAGAACCAAACAATGGTCTTCATATTCCTTGGTGTACAAACTTTCCTCCAGGGAACTACTAGTGCATTGCTAATTAAGCATTCCAAGCCACACTGTTTTAAGTTGTGAAACTGCGTTGGTAGTTTGTGTATGCCGGTTGCTTACATTCCGAGTCTGTAAGGTATATACACAACTGTAAACTGTGCTGTTGGATAGTTGTTGCGACTGACTTTATTATTTTATGTTTTATACCCCAGTAATGGGTTAGAAACGTGAACCTCACTACATAAATCCGTTAAATGTTATAATGTGCGATTTTAAGTTTTATAAATACATTATTTCATGGAGTTTTTTCAACTATAAAATTTCTTCCATATATTTTTTATCGTGGTTGTATTCATCCTCAATACTCCAGGGGTATTAAGCTTCAAGAGAGTTTGCTCATTTGCTGTGAAAATGCACATTCCAAAAATATAAAACCAGCAAATTATTGATCTATGAATTGTCACGTACAAGTAGAGTAGATAATACCTATAAAAATATTCAAAGACATAACTCTAACGCAAAATCAATGTTAATGACACATTTGAACTCTTCCAATTCAAAGGTTAGAAAAGTTCATTATGAAATATCAGGGGTGAATGAGTTAAGGTAATGAAGTTCACTACTTTTTATTCATGAACAGTTTTTATACATGTCTTGGGAATTAATCACCATAGCAACTCTCTGGGTTTATCATTACAAGCAACAGACCAAAATTCACTTCTTCAGTCCTGGTTTTAGACAGTTTGATTTTACTTTTACACTTGTATATATATTGCTTTACAACTTTTAGCCAGTTTTATTCTAATTTGGCCTGTTAGGATACAATTATATAAATAAAATGTTCGATTGCAGTGGAGACATTACAAAATAAATGAATTTCAAGATTTTATTTATATATATCACACCCAAATGAAGCTGCTACAATTGGGCTTGTATCTGTAATTTACTGATTGTTATTTTATCAAGGTCCTTGGACATTGTCAATATACTTTGAATTTTTTTTTTAATAAAATGTGCAATAAAAATACATTTTGTGTTAACGAATTGTCTCAATCTCGACTACGTCGACATATTTCTTTGTTCATCACCTGTGATGTGAATGTCAATTTTCGGAAAACTGCTGCAAAAGCGGAATATTCGCAGAGTGCAAATATTGGTGATTTGTGTTGAGGAAATTGGGGCGAAAATATATTATCGATACAGAGAATGTGTAGCTTTCAGAACCATGGAAAATGCGAAAATTTCAACACAATCAGTTTCAAGTCAGAATGGGAACATTCCACTTTCAAAGTAAACAAATAACATCATGGGGATATATAGCTGCTCCAGCAACAAACACATTTAATATGTTACTGCATAGTGGTCCATGTAAAGGGTTAATGGAAGTTGTGGTACAGAAGTGTTCAAGTTAACAGATGTGCTAATTGGAATATCTATACACATATCCTCCTGAACTTTGGAAGAATGATGTTCGGTTCAACAGGTACACCAAAGAATGAAGACAAAAACTCTAGTGCAAGTAAGTCACAGAGCACAAGGAAGACAATAGCTCTAGTGCAAGTAAGTCACAGAGCACAAGGAAGACAAAAGCTCTAGTGCATGTACGTCACAGAGCACAAGGGAGACAATAGCTCTTGTGCAAGTAAGTCAGAGAGAGAACAAGGAAGACAATAGCTCTAGTGCAAGTAAGTCACAGAGAGAACAAGGAAGACAATAGCTCTAGTGCAAGTAAGTCACAGAGAATACAAGGCAGACAATAGCTCTAGTGCAAGTAAGTCACAGAGCACAAGGAAGACAATAGCTCTAGTGCAAGAGGTCACAGAGAATACAAGGCAGACAATAGCTCTGGTGCAAGTAAGTCACAGAGAGAACAAGGAAGACAATAGCTCTAGTGCAAGGAAGTCACAGAGAGAACAAGGAAGACAATAGCTCTAGTGCAAGTAAGTCAGAGAGAGAGAGAACAAGGAAGACAAAAGATCCAAGAGGGATCTTGGTGCCCACCTTTGTACCATCTTCATTAGCTCTTTGTCAGTTCGATCTTTTCTCTTCTTTCCTCTAA